CGCTGGGCGCGGCGGAGCCGCTGGCGCTGGGCTCGCTGCGGGGGAAGGTGCTGCTGGTGTCCAACGTGGCGACGCTCTGAGGCACCACCACCCGCGACTTCCTGCAGCTCAACGAGCTGCAGCGGCGGTACGGCCCCCGCGGGCTGCAGGTCCTCGGCTTCCCCTGCAACCAGTTCGGGCACCAGGTGGGGCGGGCGGCGGGGGCCGGGGAGCGGGGAGGAGCCGCCCGTCCCCGGCTGGGCTCTCACGGGCTTCGCTCGGGGCGGTTTTCTTTTCGCGTCCCTAGGAAAATGCTACGAACGAGGAGATCCCGCTCTCGCTGGAGCACGTTCGTCCCGGCAACGGGTACAAGCCCAATTTCCTCCTGTTCGAGAAGTGCGAGGTGAACGGGAAGAACGCGCACCCCCTCTTCGCCTTCCTGAGAGAGGCGCTGCCCTTCCCGCACGACGACCCCTCCTCGCTGATGACCAACCCGCAGTACATCATCTGGTCCCCCGTCTGCCGCAACGACATCTCCTGGAACTTCGAGAAGTTCCTCATCGGCCCCGACGGCGTGCCCTTCAAACGCTACAGCCGGCATTTCGAAACCATCAAGATCCAGGATGATATTGAATTGCTTCTGCAGAAGGTACCCAGGAATGTTCTCGAATAAAGCCGAGCGTCGCAGCGTTCGCGGCCCGGCCCCCTCCCTCCCTGCTCAGCTTGCTGTGCTCCTGCCTGTTTCTCTCGCAGGGGGCTGCTGCTCTGGCAGAAATCCCAATGTCTCGTGCAGGTTTTGCTTATGATGGTGCACCTTCCAAATTCTCGAAGTGTACCTGATGTTTTCAAAAGTTGCATGTGAATGTTTGGGAAACTATGCCGGGGAAAGCAGCTGTGAGTCTCAGTAGCTTACTGTGATTCTCTGAATAAAAAAAATACATGTACTTTCTTGACGGCTGTGGCTTTATAAATCCGGGCAAGTTGGGTAAAGCATTGTGGCCATCTTACCTGTTCATCAGCTCGTGTGGGTGCTCACAGGGGCTGACTCAAAGCACTCGAGCACGATAGCGCAGTCAGGCTGAAATCTGAATGCAAACCTAGGGCAGTGTGATGGGCAAACAACATCTGCGGGCTCTGCAAACTGTGAATCAGTGCCACATCTTGCCCTGCGCGTAACGAGCTTGGCAGAGCGGGGGGCGGCACAGAACAGAAATATTTTGCAAAACTGCTTACTGGACCTCACTTGAGGCTTGCCTGTGGAGGAAAGACATAGCGGCACATGGCCAGGGTGTGATTTTACACTGGCTGACAAACTCCAACTTGGCTACCAACGACAGGCCACGACAGGTTAACAACCATTCAGGCAGGTAGATGAGCGATTCTGCAGCCTGCGCTGCTCCAGCCGTGCTGGAAGAGGGCTTGGGGAAGAACAGCTCTTTGGCCAAGGCGCACCTTGTCATTTGGCCTCCATCAGCAGATGCTCAGGGGGGACCTTAGAGCAGGAGCGCCCGCTGTCCCTCCCCTTGTTGCGGAGCCACTGCCCCCTCGCTATCTCCTGGCTCTATCCCATTTTGCATCGGTGGTAGCCCAACACGGACCTCTACATACTCACCCAGTCCTACATGAAGCCCGTATCACCTTTGTGCATCCCCAACGCAGGGAATCACAGAAAGAACCAGTTCTTTTGTGTTCCCAGTGCAGAATACCGGCGCATTCAACCACTTCTCCCACGGAAACTGTGCCTTGCCTCAGAGTGTCCTTGTTGCCCTTTGGGAACAGGAATTGCATGTGACAAAGTGCAGGTGCCCAGGGTTCAGGCAGTATTTTCTTCTTTTTATTCCTTCCCTAACACTTTTTTGACTCCGGCCAACCACGGAACTGATGGGTATTTCATGGAGCTGTTACAACAATCCTGGCATGTTGTTGCTGTGTGGCAATCCTGGGTTTACAGCCTGTTGCCAAATGGCTGGAATTAGGGTTGGTTTCCCCTGGAAAACCGCAAGCCTGTGCCAAATTTCACCTGCCATCTTACTGCCCAGTGGCTCAGGTCCTTCTGCAGGTAAATTTTCACTCCTTAAATGGCTCTGTAAGCACGTTTGCATTACAAGGCACTCCTCACGAGGCCTCATAGCACTGAGTATAAACTTGGTGCTGGACTGAGGAGTACTCAACACAGACTAGAAACTCGGGCTCTCAAAGGGAAGGCATAACACTTTCAAGCATCAGTGCACTGTTTTCATAATTAAAAACACTTGGGATTTGAGGTTCTTCGCTTTTTTCCTGTTCATAGCTTCTCACCTCACCAATTCACCGGTTACTTTGTTACTGTACCTACATTCAGGCCCCCCTCCAGTCTGAGGAGAGACAGTGGGGCAAAACCTACAGCCGGCTCCACCCTGCTTGCCGCTGCCCCTGAGTCATCGATCTTTGAACTTGGATTGCACAATCCTCACCGGGCTATTTCTTAACTTCCAGTACAGCTTTGTGGAAAAACAGGATGTTTTCAGTAGCTGTTTCAGCTTTGGAGCAGAAGCTGCTTGATTTGGGGGATTATTTTTTCAGTTGAATCTACTTCCCTCGTTAATGCAGGATGTTGAAATACGTGGAGAGTCTAGAGGATCATGGGCAGCAGGAACTCACTGCATTGAAAAATCTTTCTCCGCACGAGCTGTGGCACTTCCTCAATCTTGACTCACCAAACTTGAGCCATTTGAGTGGGACCTCCTTTGCTTTGCCTGTTCCCCACTGCCGTGGGGGAGCCAATCCCAACAACTGCTGCTGTTCCAGTGGCACCCCTGCCAGAAAGGGTCTATCACTGAGCCCGCCGGTCAGAAAGGCATCTTACGCCGTGCTTATTCAGTGCTAATGGCCAAGGGATTTATTTACCTTCCGGCTGCTGGGGCTGTGCTAGCAGAAAAACAAAGCAGCAGCTCCAGAACAGATAGAGCCACGCCAGCAGAAGTACAGTGACGCGATTCCAGGATGAAAATTAGCCATGCCAGCAGGAAAATGAACGATTCCAGTGTAAGCACACCCAGCAGGAACTCTGCAGTGTAGATAAAAGCCTCCCAGCCTTGTTATCCCCTGTCTCGTTTCAGCATTCTCCAGAGTAGGTGGCTTCTGGGGTAAAGCGGGCTGTGGTGGAAAGGGCAGCCTACAGGCTGGAAACCTTCGGCAGCAACACCTGCAGAAGAGCACAGCCCCACGCAGGTTCTTGTGCCCAAATGTTATTTGGTGTTGTGACCAGAAGGGATGAAAATGTTTCGCTACAGGTAGCAGCTCTATGCTGAGGGTAGATCTGAAGAATCCCAGGTGATTCCTCAGGCATTACAAAATGGCCGAGTTCTATTTCTGTAATTTCAGAAACAGACTGACTCAGAAGGAAACCTTAAAATAATACTACTTTAGCACACATGGATGCTTCCGTGGCTTGAGGATGTTGTCCTTTCAACATCTGGTGTCTGCCACATCTACACTCCTACACTCTATTTTTTTTGTACACTTTTATTGCAAACAGCTAATCCTTGCTAGTGATCACCCTGCTTTTCCATTCTTCTACATATCAGAGTCCCACATATCCCCCTCCCTTTCTCCCCTCTTCCCTCCCTTAGCTGCTGATTGTTGCCATCAACTTCTTAAATCTTTAAGCAAGTTCAGGTATTTGAAGCTGTCAGGAGTGTTAACTAGCTGCAAAGAAGATTATTATTCCTGCCCCTATCTCCCTCTCCCAGGTTCCCTAGTGTTCTGCCCACCAAACCCTAGCACATCTCTTGAAATCATGGCTGATGAGATGTGGTGTTCAGAAGTGTCTACTCAATGGAAATGCCATCCAGTGGAGCCTAAGACTTTTCTTACTCAGCCTGTTAAATGTTCTTTCAGCTATTTAAAACCCCTTTCTCTTCCTGCTGAGCTTTGTTGCACCCACTAACTTTTAAGATAGATTTTAGTCACTGTTTTTGATCATCATTGTAGGGCAGGTAGGAAACACCTGCCTCCAACTGGGTGGCACTTGAAAGGGCTTTGTTCCTGTCAGTGCCACTCTCGAAGCGAGCAGCCATCTAGTTCAGCTGGAGACAAGGGCAGGAAGCCGAATGGCTGAAAGGAAAGTGCTTGAGGACACAGGAGAACACAGACACTCCCATCTACGGTGAAACTGTAATAATGTCATTTCCTAGTACTGAATCAGGAAGCTTTGAATGAGACCATTTTAATTGTTTATTGGATTTTCTATTAGGAATAGGTAATTCATTAGAAGAGTGAGGTCAGCCACGTAAGCATTATCTCAGAACAGCTGACTCATTTTAAAAACACACCCAGTCTTGCCATAACAGGGTGTGTTAGTTCCTTGAAGCCCAAAGGGGCCCTGCCCTTTGAGAAAAACAGGAGTAAGTAACAGGACTCAACTCTCACTGGAAGGAGAAAATGGGTCTTCTTTTTCAGTGTTAAGTGGATGGACTTGCCCTGCCATCAAAAACATAAAAGGCCTTTAGCAATTTACCCTGGATAGCTGCAGCACTGCCAGGCCTGGCTGGCAGGAGGTAGAGCCTAGCTGCCTACCATGCTGCTGGACACTGGCTGCCCAGAAGAGTGCTCGCCTGCACAGACAGTCACAGCCCCAGCACATCACCCCCTGCCTTTTTTTCTGTGAGGTAAATGGATTTCTTTGGTGTACCAGTTTAAAGCAGGTTTTTAAGTCTCTAAATCATCATCTGAATCCTTCCCAATTTTCCCACTTCTGAAGGACAGGCTTCCTAAAACAGCACAGGATATGCTACTCGAGCGACAAATGCCTAAATTGCTTCTTGGGAGAGTCTTTCCAGAGACACTTTCGAAACTCCTGAGCGCTCCCCACCTGGTTAATCAGACCCATCCTCCCATCTATTCCTGTTAACAATTTGAAGCCTCCTTCCCTAGCCAACGCTCTGACCAAAGGCCTCCGTGAAGTCAAGTCGCCACAGAAAACGGAGCATGTAACGCTGAAACCACGGAGTCCACACCAAACACTTCCGCCACCTGCTTTGGAGGAGGCCTCCCCGGGAGACCCTCTCGGCCACGGAGCCACCTCGGGGACGAGGCCTCCCTGCCCCCTCGCAGCTTCCAGCCCTGCCTGCTCGCTGCCCCGCCAGCACTAGAGGCCCGGGGAGAGCTGCGGCCGCCAAGGGGCCGCATTCCCGGGCCGACGGGGG